GGAGCCCCCAGCCGGCCTCCCAGCCGCAGCACCAGCCGCAGATACAGTCCCAGACACAGACTCCGGTGCTGCCGCAGGTCAGTATTTTCTGAAGACGCACAGGCAGCCAGCGGCGGACGGACGGACGGGCGCCTGGAGGCCGTCGGAGGGTCCGCTATCCGCGGTGGAGGATCCACTATCCGCGGTCGAGGGTCCACTATCCGCGGTGGAGGATCCACTATCCGTGGTCGAGGGTCCACTATCCGCAGTCGAGGGTCCACTATCCGCGGTGGAGGATCCGCTATCCGCGGTCGAGGGTCCACTATCCGCGGCGGAGACTGGGCAGTCGGTGTTGGCCCTGCAGACGCGCATCACAGGTCCCATGGTCCTCCGAAGTGTCTATTAGATAGGCAATAAGAACTACAGCGTAGCTGAGCATCCTCCTCTAGCTGACTCGAAAGCCACTTGGGTTTTCCACAAGAAAAGCTGTGCTCTGTTATGTGATGCCTTTTTTTAATTTATTCAGGCTGTACCTACGATATGTGAATCAAACCGTTTCATGAATCCTGGGACCCACCACGGACGACACAGGGGCCTCTCTGAGTCACAGGACATGGCCTTATGTCTCCATTGAAGTGACTGGACCGCACTTCCAGGCGACGGGAACTCATGAACCCCCCACACCCCCCAAAAAAAAGAAAATTAAAAGCACAGTTGTAACTACCTGAATAGGAAGATATTCCCGTGTCATACAAACATGGGTATGACATGAATAGTCGATGGCATTTTTTTTGTCATAAAAAAATAATAATAATGTAAATCACAGACTTTTGCCAAAGGTCTTATTTTTTTTTCCTAAATATCTCCAGAAAAAGAAAAAAAAAGCAAGTGATGATGAGATTCAAGTATTGACTTGTTTCCACTTTTTACCCACAACTTCTCCAAATCGAACCATATCTATGACCACTGTTAGCCCATTGTATCCATTCCAATTAGAGGGAAAGAATGTGAATATATATTCTGTGTTTTGAGTGACAAGTTTCGAAAAATAAAAACACTGTATTTTTAAAAGGGAAATGAACTTAAATGAAAGCAGTTATTACAAAAGTTAAGATTTAAAAAAAAAAGCGAGAGTTTTTATTATGATGTAATACCGGTAGAATATTTAACAGGCGCACCGCATCTGAATAATCAATGTAAATATTTTCTTTCCAAGTTGTACGTTTTCCTATCATGTGTTGTAAAGTTTTCATAAATGAGGCTTTAACGTAAACACTGGTGACACGAACCATTCATTGCTACGTTGCTTATTGTGTTTTTACGCTGTTTTATACTTTTTTATGAGTTACGATAGCAGCAATTGAGTTGTTTGTATTTTGCTTAACTAAAACAAAAAAAAATGCTTTTATCTTGCTATAGAATAAACACATTTCAGTAAAGACCGTGGGCTGTATTTTGATGCAACAACCCAGAAACTGTTCACTTTTCAAATAAAATGATCTGTCACGTTTCCCTTTTGGTTCCTTGACTACGTGTCTCAGGGGCAAGGAGGCCACGGACCAACTTGTATTGGAGCTCAAGATCGTCTCCCATTTTCAACCGGAAATGGGATATCAGAGCGGAGGATGTGGATGGCCTGGCCCCAAACGAGGGCCCTTGAAAAAAAAAAGCCACAAAACATACTTTGGAAATGGTTTTGTGATGATGTTTTTGTTAAGGGGCAAGGGTGGAAGGTAAGTAGAGAGGAAAAAGCACGCGTCTTCTATGAGGGGGCGAGAGCGGGGTGGCCTGGTGTGGTGATTGCTCTTAAAACCCATGCTAATTCTTCAGCCAAAATAATGATTTCAGTGCCCACGTCGTCCCCCCTCTCCTCGCTCCTGATGGCTCCTCTTGGAGAACACTGTGACCACGATCCCCAGTTGTCTTGCATGATTAATTACAGCATCTGTCGTGTCAGAAGCTATAATGAAGAGGTCTTGATAAAAATTGCAAATTACCACTGGCAACAGTCTTCCACTGCTTATGATAAAATGAAAATGAAAAAACAGCAAGTGTCAAGCCTGACCAGACCCTCATCTGGAGGGAAAACAAACAAACAAACACACAAACGAGGGTGTGAGGAGCCGGGGCCATAGTTACCGGGTGCGAAGCACTCAGAAAATAATGGACTCTGGATGCCTCCAAGTTGTTGCCTCTCAAAGAATATTTACTGTATGTTGTGGGCAATGAATAATGAATCCAGCTTTTAATATTTCATAATCCTCTCCACTGTAGAATGTACAAATATTGAACAGCAAGCGATTCTAATTATAAATTTATAGATTTCTTGCTGTAGAGAAATGTATGTCTAAATGGAAGCTTTTCCTAAGATGCATGAGTTGACAGGTATCAGTGTGCGGGTTTCGGACGGCGCCTCATCCCATCTACGAGGGGGCAGGGCACCCCACACAGAAGGGATCTGCTCGCCTCAGATCCATCAGAAGCAGAACCGACGGGTGGAAGGTTCTCTGAGGATCGAGACGAACATTACAGAACAATAAGAGCCATTTTATATTCTGTTGTGAAACCTTTAGACAAATGTCTTCAGAATTAATTGGCGGACTCCATGTGACAGTAATTGTGTATTAGTTCTGTAATTGTCATTTTGGAAACCCATGAAGTATTGCTGGGGGGGAAAAATGTCACTAGTGATAAGACTTAATTGCAAGTGAAATCTGTGTTCGACTGTTTGCAGTTAGAAGCAGGTGCTGTAACATCTATTAAATGACTTTCTAAATCTTGGGTTTTATCACATTTGATTAAATGCTGTGAAGCCACTGATGGCCCATGTCAAGGGGGGAAAACATAGTTCCGTCCCCTCCAGTTTCAAAAATTAACCATCAGGCAAAACTAAATGTTATAAAACACCCAAAGGCTTGAATCATGAAAAGAATTTCCCCAGACTTGGGACCGAATTCTTCTTCTCAGGACTAAGACTGTGGTGCATCAACTTGGATTTCTATTTGTACACGTGTTTCTGGTGCCTTGGAAGTAAGAAGGCGGTGAACTGTTTGTTGTTGTTACAGGTCAGAAAGAAATCGGGGTGCTGAGAAATGTGGAAGCTGATTAGTGGGGCGCCTCAGTGGCCTTCAAGCCTCCCCACTTAAGTGTCTACAATCAAAGGCCCTCCCACCCCCTCCACCTCCATCACACACCTCTGTCCCCCCTGCTGTGGGCACATAATTTTATTACTCTGGCTAAACATGCTCTCTCTCTTGCATTAACCTGGATGCCATAGGAGGAAATAACCTACGGAGTTTTCCTTTGTAGCTGACACGGGGTCATTAGTTCCTGGCTCCTGAGAACAAAAGCTTCAATGCCTTTGTTGGGGCATCATTTCTGCGGTAGGCTCCCACCTGACGGGAGGTGGAAGGCCTTCGCGACAAATGGACTCCTAGCTCAAGGGTGAGCAGAAGTCCTCTGCCGTGTGCATTCAGTGGGCTTCGGGTCTCTCTCCCCTTTCTCACTTCATGGAGCTTTTTTTCTTCTTCTTCTTCTCAGCACTGGACTTCAATCTAACCTTCCCTCCCCGCCCCCCCACTCTCCCCACCCCCACAGCCTTTGTTTGGCTTTTGTTTTGCAACAGCTGTTATTATCGTTTTTTTGGTCAGCTGTGATTGCTGGAGGCAAAATAGGACCAGATGGTGTTTTGCTATGCATGAATGGGGAGTTAGAGGGCTTGGGATTGAATAGGCCAAGTTTGAATGGTGTCTGTGCACCACCTGCCTGCCTGGGCCTCGGCTCACACATCACAGGAGCGTGATCCGCCGCAGACCCACCAGCGTCGGATGGGAAAGTGGGGTGGTTTCCCCCATATTTATTGATCTTCCATGCGCTAACCGAATAATCCAGGCAATCTGAGCTAATTGGATATGACGCAGATTGGGCATGCAGTCTCTCACTCTAGAATTCCTGGTTTGCTTTAAGGATCTCCTTTTTCTCCAAAGTAGACACACACACACACACACACACACACACACACACAAAATAGTGAAAGTTACTAGGCTAAGTAGGCAGCGACTAACATAAAATGATGTATGTTTCAGGGTGTCATTCTATACTACATCATCTGTATGTTGTATTGTGCATTCACCACCCCAAGTCAAGTTTATTAACCAGTGTCACCCCAATCGAGTCAATAAAAAAATACATTTTAAAAAGTCTAAGATGATAGACTTTAAGAGTCTAAGGCTGAGGTGTTGGGAAGGTAAGGACCTCTCCATGATAATCGTATTAGCTAATAATAGAAGGCAAAGAAAAA